ACCATCGGCGACCTCACCTTTCGATACGGCGGAGCCCCCTTCAAAATCGGCGTTTTTTTTTATTTCTCGGTGATTATTTTTTTACCCTTTTTGCGGCGATTTTTTTCAGAAATCGGCGTTTTCGGCGATCGCCTATCGAGCAAAAGCCTAGCAGGGCGGCGGCAGTCCTTGCCGCGGTGGGAGAGGGGCGGGAGAGGCGGGAATCGATGGTGGTCTGCCGCCGGCGGCGCCCGTTTCCCGGTCGGGACGAACCCTGACGCGGACACCTGTGGTGGATGTTTAGGTGTCTTCGAGGGGGGGTTGTTTCGTGATGCAGAACAGCTGGTATCCGGGTGAAATTAGCTCCGAACGGCTTGAAGTTTGCGTGTGGAACCGATTTCAAACCGTAGCGTGTTAAATATTGTTCACGAGGTTGCTTGAGGCAATTTGGGGTCGAACAGCACCGCCGGGGGGGTCGGGACGGGCCGGCGGGCAGTTTGTCGAGAAACCCGGGGATGCTGCACTTTTGTCCCCTGGTCTATGTGCTTTTTTTTTTCTTCTTGTCCAACGCGTTTTCTGCAACGTTTACTTCGTTTCTCTCAACCGGCGTCTCGTGGGGGTTGAGTTGTGGGTGTAAATTGTTCATTTAACTGTAGCAGATTTTTTCGGAATTTTCTGCCGTACAAGCCGAAAAAGGAGGGAAAGTACCCCATGTCTGGACAGGCATAATGTCCATAGGTATTCGATTGCCGCAATTTTTTTTTGTGAGTCCGAGTAGGACGCATACAAGTCATTAGTTCATCAAATTACTACGTTTGCATGGTTTCAAGGCAAGAGAACACGCAGTACCACCCAAAAGGGGTATATTCCGTTCCTCAAAACGGGGCCGAAAATCCGGGGATATGGGCATTTTGTCCCCGGGTGTGCACCAATTTATTTAATTTTTTTGTATCGAACATACGTCATACTAAGAGCCTGTGTACCAAATTTCAGGTCGTGGAACGCTTTAGAACGTGCGTATCCGGCCACTACCGGAAAGTGGTCCTTAATACCCCCCCCTCCTTTTGACCCAAATTTTACCTAGAACGTGAGGTATACTTCAAGGTCTATATATACTCGCCACCTTCACTTTTTTCAATTTTTCTTTCTTTGTCATGTAGTCTATGTTATAGGCTATCGTATGATACCTTGATCTCTTCATGAATCATCTTGAAACCAGAGAACAAGCTGCCTAAGTGGGGGGTGCCTTAGGGGGTCCTTAATACCCGTCCTTACTCTACGCAAAACAGATTGTACGTGTACGCGCGAGATAATAACGGCGGGACGAGGGCGGACAAGATGACCGCGGAGATCCCCGAACAAAGAACCATGCTGACGCAAAAATTATAAATACCTAGCCCCACACAACCATGAGCGGCTCCACACATGTTTTTCGACCGGCTCATCACTTCGCGACTTCCCGCGCAAACAAGCATTTGTGCCAAGGAAGCCGAGAGAAAACAAAAGTTCATGATACTATAGTCGGTACAAGTGAGGATACACGCCCCGGTAGGCACTTCTCCGCATATACTGTGCGGTCCGGAGGTTGACCGACTGCCCAAACAAAAATAAAACACTTACAGAGTAGGTCTTGACAAAACGACGGTCCTCGTGCCCCTTCCCCGAGGTGTGAGCACGTCACAGATGCCAGCGAATCGAAAAAACACAGCGGTCGCTAACGCGGGCTGAAAGTCACCGCCCGAGGTTGAAGCCTTCAACAACAAATAACACCTTTAGAGCTGCAGCCCACCCACCCCCAGCCATCCCCCTCCCTCCCAATGTTTTCCATCGGGGTTGGGGTTTCGTCGCTTGGCAACGACGTTGTAAAACAAGATAATTCACTTCGCAATTCACTTCGTGAACTCGGCAACCAGGTTACCGTTTTTGTTCTTACCTCTCTTTCTGTTTCGCGGTAACGATGAATGGTGGTCGAGTAGATCATGTTGTGCGGGGTCGAGAACCCTCGCTCCGCGCAAGGGGGATGATCGCACCACGTTGTGTTAAAATGGTAAAGCGTCCTCGAGGCAGTTACACAGTGCTTACAACTGTCTCTGGAAGTGAAAGCACCAGAAAATTAATCAAGTCATACGCAGCTGTCATCCGTACGCAAGGAAGTAAGCACAAGATGCCGAACACCCTTAGCAGGATGCAGCGCACCCTTCATGCGACTCGCCGAATACCTCACGGCGCTTCGCGCTTGGTGATGTGAGAGCCTGGTCCGGTGAGAACCCGGCGTGCTCCGTCCCGGCTTTGTAGGGATGCGAGGTCAATGGTCTAGCGACTACTGCATGCACGGCTATGAGTACACCCCCCACCCCCCACCCACCCCCAGCCGCCCTCCCTGATCCACTTTTCCCCAACTCACCCAGGCTCCACACAAAATCCCGGCCAACGTACCACCGGAACAATCGGGCTTTCCACGACGCAAACAAGCAACGGCGCACGCCAAGTGCTCGGATGCGAGTGACGGCACGACCGTTCTGTCCGCACACACGATATGGTCTGGATATTGACCGAAAACACAAAAAACATAGGACGCTGACATGCCCCCCATCCCCAACCGTCGACAACAAGCGCCGCGACGGTAGCGCCTAATCGATGCCAGAAAACCGAAGAAACACACCGGTCGTTTCACCGGCCTTTTGAAGGAGATGTTCGCCACGCCGTAGTCGCGCTGACGTGAACTCTTCCCTCATGTGGCTGAAACATGTACAGGTAGTTCAAACCAAGCAAAGCGGGGAAGGTGTCATCGATCGGCCCAGTAATTTGGTTTCGAGTGGAAACGATAGGGTATTGCAGACGATCGGCCGACAAACATGAATTTGACTGTCGATTGAGGACTTACGCTTGAACGACCAAAAAACTCGTGAAGTTCAAACACACTCCAGTGGAATGGGTTACCTTCTATATATGATAGGGGTACTGACAAGAACTTGCATTGGCAGTTACGCAAAAGCTCAAAGGGTTATTTCTGTCTCGCGAAATTGAGGAGTTGGAATGTATAATTAACAAGGTCGTTACGAAACAGATAATCGCCAACGAACGCACTGCCCACCCTCCTAGCGCCCTCCTAGCGCCCTCCTAGCTTTGTACACCTTGAAACACCCGACGTATCTTTCTACCGCCACCGTGGAAGGCCAAGTCGAATGAACTCGATGCACTGCACAAAACAACATGGGTTACTCGCCTAGATGAGTCTTCTAGTCCTCAGTCTCAGTGTCACCAGCACTCATCCCTTCTTCGGCGCTATCACTGTCGTACTCGCTGCTGCTGCCCGGGACGTACTCCGGCTCGGTGCCGTTTTCCTGATCGCTCTGGACGGACTCTTCATCGCTGCCCTCCTCTCCACCGCTGCCCTTCTCGTCGTCACCGCCAGCGTCGCTCATGTCCCCGACGCCGTCAGCGGCGGTTTCAGCGGTTGTAAGGAAAAAAAAGTCCTCGACGCTTCCAGTCAGCAATCGTTAGCTGCCGGCAGTTTGCCCCGAGCTTCCTGGACGAAGCCAAGCATCATGACCTTGTACCTGTGATGCATATGGGTTGGTCGAGACGACAGAAGAAACGCCAGCGGTTGGAATGCTGAGCCGAAAAATCTAGTTGCGGAAGAACAAGTCCGGGATTGCTGCACCGCTGCACCCTTCCTGGATGTAGGTTCAGGGCATGCAAGACCCATAACATTACCTCGTGATACCCCTCTTCTACCAGGAGTGTCAACACGCACTTGCTCAACAACAGACAACGAAAAATCTACAAAGGCAACAATATTCGATGGTTAGTCTTACCGAGCGAGAAAGGCCTTGTGATTTTTGTCGCCTCCGCCCGGGGGAAGCTTTTCCTTCGTCTTGATCAGCTCTCGGATGGTGCGACGGGTGTTAAAGCCCGGTGGATCTTCGGTGCCGTCATCGCCGTCTGACTCGGAATGACCCCCTCCCTGGGATTACCGGTGGACGCTAACTACTGCCGCGAGCTGCGCGCCAATGTCGTCCAGAAACGCCTTGGCGAGGGGGAGAATGACCTGCGACCAGTTTCATCCGGGGGGGGGGAGGGGGGGATGGATGACCCAAACGATCACCTCGCTAAACGACCGAACCACGGGGCACGAAGTATAGCAAAGCACGGAGATCCAACAACGACGCCACGTTCGTGTTGCTACAATATTACAACGTCGTTACCAAGCGACGAAACCCCAACCTCGATGGCAAACACCGTGGGGGGGGAGGGGGCGGGGGGGCGGGGGGTCAAAATACACCCGCAAGGTTAGAGATTGTTACAGCTTGGAACATTGGAATTGTTCTGTACTTCGGTGGCCAGGTGTGGTAGGGGGCCGAATAATGTCTTGCTGACCTACTTGATATACACCGTTTTCCACAGGTCCTCCAAACGACGTACCATTGTTCACACAGGGCGATCACCGATGGCCAATCGTTCCTTACGAAATATGAAGACACAAAAAGTGTCACCGGGGTGGGTAGTGGGGGGGGGGGAAGGGCAAAGAGAAACCATCCAGCTGGCATGGACGCAAACGATGNGGGGGGGGGGGGGGGGGGGGGGGGGAAGGGCAAAGAGAAACCATCCAGCTGGCATGGACGCAAACGATGGTGAGGGTTATTCGGCACAAGAGAGCACATAAAATTCATGCGGTTGGTCAATGGCACACGGAGGAGGCAGGGTAACTCCACGACGCTCGGAAAACGCTCGGCAATCAACACTCACATAAAGACAACAATTTTTTCTTTTTTTCTCTCATCATTGGACTCCGTCGTCTGCCCCTCTGGCCCCTATCCTCTACTTCTACCAGCTAGACGACCCAACCGGGGTCACATAGGAGGGGGGGGTTGGACCCCCTCCTGCGGTTCCTGCCTGAGATATTCTTATCGCGACAAGGGTACAGCAATCCCTTCTCTCGCGACTTATGAAGTCGATCAAGTTTACTAGCAACGAGCATATGTTCATCGGTGAAGCAAACGACAAAACACGCACCGTGGCAAGGGCGAGGGCGCTCCCCACGGGGTCCGAGTTCTCGGCGTCTGCCGCTGTGGACCGTAGCCTCCTGTGCTTGCGGCGTGTGGAAGCGCTGGGCGTGCTGAGCTTGCTGCGACTAGAAGAAACCTCCGTGTACCTCTGGGTGGAGTCGTTGTTTAAGCGGCCGCGGCCAGCGTTGGAGCTGCCAGCGGTGTTCACGTCCCCGAGCGGGTTGAGAGCCCGCCCCTGCTGCTGCCACCGGCCATCGAGTTCAACATATCGAGAACGAAAGGTGAGGAATCCGGAGGGCTGGTTGAGGGGAAGAAGAGAGAATGGTGTATGCGGGGTAGGGCATCGAGGGCGGGGCGAGTGATTGCACGGTGCAGAAAAACACAACGCACCACATATGATAATCTGTTTTTTTTGTCAACAGAATAACGGAACACACGGTACTGTATCAGGTTATAGGTCCAGAGAATAGCTCAGTCTCCTCTTTGACAACCTCTCACGGGATCCCAGATCAGGGCCATGAGAACCATTTGTGTTCTGTTTTTAACCGCACCAAGTCGGACAACGCATCTTTTAGTTGGCGAGTCGTTTCTCTTGCTTCTGAAGGCTTGATCTTCTCTCTTGCTTTTCATCGAAGGCACAGGGGAGTTTTTTTTATCTTCTTCACACCCCTTTGGGTTGCACCTCCTTTTGTTATGCTCATGGAAGGAGCACTGCATACATGTTTTACCCCCAAACGTACATCGGGTGCGCGCATGATGAGCGTCTATCTTTCGCTGTCGGGGGGTGCCTTTGAGGTTGCCTGCATAGTGTTAATGCCTTCTTGCAACAACAATGCAGTAGATCATTTGATAGCGAGATGCCTTTTGATCGGGCAGCACGGTCTACGATTTGAAGGCAGCGGCGACGTTCGCTTCCTTGGTGTGTGCTGAGTTGGGAAGAGGACAACCGTGCAACAAATGTATATGGTCAAGTTTTTAATGTGACCAAAGCCGTGTTTTCGATGGGCTGGCAGCTCACTATTCCCGAAGAAGCCCGCCCACGTCGCCCACCCCACAATTGATCCGTATACCGTTCGTTTGGTTCTATTCGATATACTCGTAGNCTTTATGTTTTCCTTGGGAGTGTGGTAGATTGGTGAACATTCATGGAGATTCGTTTTGGGTGTTTGAGCGTTATGCGTGACTTGATGCCGTGATGGAATGACGAGCTCAAGCACGACCCCGATTAAAACAACACGGATGCAACACGTTATACAACACGTTTTCCAACACGTCTGCACGACGTTACCTACCCCTACGGCCCGT